GCTAGCTATAATTCGATCGATTAGAGATAAATTCCAATCACAATACTAATTACAATTTGGCATATGGCAGTTTCAAGACTAACAGCATGAATAAATTAGTGACGGAATCGTTCTTCCTCTAACAGTCAACTTGAACACGTTCGACTGTCTCGCTTCAACTTCCTGTCGAGTGTGGGAAAATGAGGCAGGTGCTAGAGTTGTGTTAATCACAGCATGCATAGGAATTTTTTATATCCTTGACTGTCCAATTTCTTTCTTTGCAATCCACTTTTTACAGCTCGACTATCTCATCATGTTTTTATGGTGTATTGCGATTTTTGCAAAAATATGTAATCTTGATGCTGCGCTACTTAACATTTAATTCACGACCTCTGGCTTTTATTCTTCACTTCTTCCTCCTACAACGTTTGCAGCTGATAGTTATATCCTTCTCGCTCGATTGTTGCGGAGCACGTGCTCCTATTGCTTTCCCACGGTAGTTTAATCCCCCCTTTACACTTGGTATGCATGAGCGGAATCAGTTGGTTCACTGAATCACTGATTGCCTACTCTACACTACCGTTGCTTGCGCCGCATGCAATACAAATAAGTAATTATAGACGCACTTCTTTCATTGAAATCCAGGTACTGAATTTCAATGAACCAATTTTTAAGTACGTTTTGCGGATTTCTCCATTTGAACTTGCCGCCCGTAAACCATTTACGTCCTTGCAAGCGCGAATGCAAGGTCGCCTTTATTCCGGATGACAATGGAAAACGCGTCGGCACGTGAGCCAACCGTTCCTGATGAAATTCGTCAAAATGTAACCATGCCCAATGCAAATTAAGTTGAACTGATGAGTATGGTAGGGATCATCAAGATTCCCACCTAAAAAATCATGCCTGATTGTACAAGGTCTGCGTAGGACATCTTCGAAGCGTGGAATTTTTAATCGTAAACACCTTGCGCAATTAACAAACATTGGCACATATCTGAAGGGTCTCATTTTTAGGATGCCTGCCATTGTTCTACAGCTATTTCAACACTATAGGTAAGCATAGTTGAGATAGAGGTATTGCAAGAACTGTTTGGAGACAGATAAGCATTGGCAAATGGCTTCAAAATAAAAATTCAAACTGAGGTTTCAAAGTACTGATTGTGGCCAGGATTATTTTCTTCGTAGCAAGGAGGCGCCTTTGGAACCCAGCCGATTGCATAATTTGTATTGTGTTTTTACGATAAATGTTATCGACCGTTGTAAACAATGGTAAAATAAATATTGTTCCCATATATTTATTTACTTTGCTTGTCAGAACGGGTCTTCAATTTCGCAATTATAGTTTTCGCCATATGAAACCCAAAAGGTACAAATGCTCACTATAAGGTGAAAATGTTCCGTGGATTGTTCGATAATTTTGGTTGTTATTTCGTTTCGTTTCTTGTCCTAATGAAGCCCCTTACGAAAGAAGTAGAGAAATTGACTTTTCGTTCAACATTGACACGGTTCTATCCCGTATTCGTCCCAAAGAAACCCTACATCTAGGTTCCTAAGAAAAATGTGCCTCCAGAAGCTTACCCTGAAAGGTTTGCTCCAGGTATATTCAGTCTTATCACCTGAAATTTACAACTCCAAAAAAATTCGTCCCCAGAGGAGTACTCTCACGCCAAGAAGTTCGAGTAATCAAAGCAAACGCCACTCGCCCTTGTAATAAGTGCCATAGGTTACAATCTTACCTATGTGATAAAACTCTTCTGGAAATTCGTCCCCAAGGAAACTTAAGCTCGCAGTTAAATTGGCGCGTATAAAATATCCCACAAAGAAAATGTACTCTTGGGAGATAAGAAACCAAAAGTTTACTTCGGAAATATTCAACTCCAAGAAAAAGCTCCAAGCAGAAAGGTCACTTCCGGAACATTTATCACCACAAAATTCGCCCTCGAAACATTAAGCTAAAAATAGTCTAAACGTTAATTCTCCCCGAAAATTAGTCCATGAATTTATTTATTTATTTATTTATTTATTATCCTCCACCACTGAACCATAATGCCGGTATGATTCTTTTTCGGAAGAACTAAATTTTCCATCAACAAATTCCGTGTCGAGGAAAGGTCGATCACGAGGTGCCGAAAATTCGTCTTTAAAAAACCCGGCCCCAGGTCAATTTTTGTCCAAGAAGATTTTCCCTTAAGCAGGATCGCACCCAAAAAATTTACCCCTAGAATATTTTGCCGGTTCCATCAGGTAAATGTGCCTCAGAAAAAGTCACCTCCCGAAGTTTCCGAAAAATCCGTCACCAAAAAATTCGTTTCCGAAATATTCGCCACCCATGCGGCCCTGGAGATCAGCCCCCGGATAATGCGCTCTCACCGGTATATTTCTTCTCCAAGAATGTGCCCCAAGAATGTTCAATTACATAGTAAAACGTACCTACGTTGTAACGACTTCACACTCCGAAAATTTGTCCCCAACAAAAATGACCTTTGAGTAAATTCGCCTCCCGGAAGACAATCCTCAAAGAATACACTTTTAAATGTACCTCAAGAAATGCCACCCCCAGGTAAATTTTCCCCGGGGAAAGTTACCTCCCGAAGATTAGTTTTCGGAATATTTCTCTGGATAAAACTCGCCCCGAAGGCTGAAATCGCGACTGAAATATTTTCCTGCAAAACATTCACCTAATTCACTGCAAAGAAACGTCGATCACAACCACTCCCATGAAATAACTGTAATGTACTTAAATCTAATGCTCTCTTTTATTGTGACAAAATTCACCCCATCAGCCTCCGAAAATTCGTCTCGAGGTAAACTAGAAGATTTGCCCTTAACCCTTGCCCACAAAGCAAAGATTTTTTCTCCCTCAAGAAATATAGCGTCATGGGAAAAGTAACCGTGGAAGATTTGTTTCAGGAAGATTCGTCACTACAAAATTCGCTCCCGGAACAGTCGCCACGAAGAAAAGTCGCTTGCAGGTAGCTGGTAGATTCACCCTTAGATATCCGCCCTTGCAAATCCGGCCTATGAATTTGCCCCGATGGAAGTCACGTTACAAGGTAAAGACCACTCGCCATTGAAATAACTGCGTTGTACTCCTTTTTATTTCTGTGACAAATTCGCCCCCGCAAGATTGATTTTGAAGATGGTGACCCCAAAGAAACATCGCATCAGGTAAATTCGTTCCGGGAAAATCCAGTTCCACAACATTCGTTTCCAGAAGACCCGTCAGTACTGAATTGGCACCGGGAATATTGGGAACTAAGAAAAATCACAATTCATCCATGGAATTTGCGCCTTCAAGAAAAATTGCACCCCCAAAAGGAAGACCCAGGAGAGGACCATAATTCTCTTTAGATAAAAGTATTGTATCGCACCCAGCCCAATTTGTTCCAAGAATTCAAGAATTTTTTTGTGCTGACGCTTCTTTGTTGGTTTTTGTAAAACAAATTTCATAATTCCTCACGGAAGATGAGCGCAAATGCAAAATCGTTCTACTCCCTAGAGGCCTTTTAAAAATCAAAATCGCTAATCCAAAATTATGTCTTGCGGGAAAGGTGATTGCAAATGCAATTCTCAGCGGAAATGCCGAAAAATGCAAAATCGAAAACTGAAAATTAGGTTTTTCGCAAAATGGAAAATGAATTAAATTTTTAGTTTTCCATTCGACTTGAAAAAGGTTATTACGATTGCAGGTTTGATTTACTCTTTTTAAAACTTTTCTAACAGTATATCGCTTCCACAGTTATTCCCATAAACGTAGCAGGTCGAGTTATCTAACCTAAAATCGTTTACAGATTCGGGAAGATCAGACAGAAAAACCCGAGTAAAACCGTTTTTCCATTTTTCTAAGTACTATGCTGAGAAAAAATTAACGAAGAAACCCCTAAAATCGGATCGTTCATTTTCCTGATCCAGAAAAACACTTGTTTTGATGGGGCAGAGGTAGGCGGTAGGGTGTGTATTCCAAAGCTGCTCATACACTTTTGGGACCCTACGAAGATTATACGAGAAAATTCTGGAAGATGCGAACAATAAAACGTAGTTTCAGGCTTAAAGCGTCACTATCTATCAAGATTGAGATTGAGGCCTGTTTTTTTTTCCTATTGCGACGCATTAGGGCTTTGACCGATTATGCACGAAAAATACTCCCAAATGTTTCAATCTGAAAGTGGCAGCGAAGAAAAATAAACCGACGGCATCTTCTCACTCGAAGATTTATTGCGCATTTTTTGCGAGTAGCCCACTTTCAACAAACAACGCAAAACCAACAATCTATATATCTATAACGAGATAAAAAAGCAGATCAATTTTTCTCAACTTCTTAAATCTTTTTCAGATACCAATGTAAATACTTAGACATTTTTCGCTGGCAGGTATGTGTACTATACTTTCGTAATAGATAAAGTACTTGATTGCGATATTGAGACCACGTCAGGTTAAGAAAACAAAAAAAATCTATTACACCACGAGAGGAAAATTTATAACGAGCGCCTCTTCGTTAATTAAATTTAATTATTCCAATAACTCGAGCGATCGCGCACATTCTAATTACCGGTACAAAAAAGACTAAGCGCCGATTTCCATTTCTGCGGCCGCTCAATAAATTTGGTTTCAATCCCTATACTAATCGTACAACAGTTATTAACGTGTTTTGTGAAATGGAATTCTATGCAAGTAACACAAAGACAGAAACATAAAGGAAACTGTATTAGAAAAGGACGGATTAGTGAAATAATTTCAAGCACGTTCGTCCACAATCACAGCACGAGCGAAGAAAGAGAGAAGCTAATAAGTAATAAAGTAACGTTGGCGTTTTGCCAGAAAGAGACGAACAAGCGGCTCTTCTAACTGAATTCTAATATGAGTAAGTGCGAGCGAGAGGAGCAGGAATGAGAAGGATGAACAGCAGCTGCACGCGCTGACACAGGTGGCCAAAGTGTGGGAACGAGCTGGCTTCTGCGATTCCCACGATCCGAAGCTTGGGCTTGCGACCAACACACACCTTGGTCCGATATAAAAGCGGGGCCCCCTTCCACTTTCAGTCATTCAGAGCTTTGCTTCTCTACAGTAAACATATCCGAAAGTGAGTGTGCGGTGTATTTACGAGTGATTTTGATTTTTCCAAAAAAATGTCTTACGAAATGTTACCGGTTGAAGAACCACAGCCCATCTCCAGGACCTACCAGTACAGGAAAGTGATGAAACCGATGCTGGAAAGGAAGAGGAGGGCGAGAATTAATCGTTGCCTGGACGAGCTTAAGGAGTTGATGGTTTCGGCTTTGCAAAGTGAAGGTGAAAACGTTTCAAAGTTGGAAAAGGCCGATATTTTGGAATTGACCGTGCGTCATCTACACAAGTTGCGTCGGCAGCAGCGGCTCGCCACAAATCCGGTTATCGACGCTGACCGTTTTCGTGCAGGATTCACGCATTGTGCGAACGAAGTGTCCAGATGCCTAGCGTCGATTCCAGGCGTCGACGTACAATTGGGCACGAAACTGATGACCCATCTGGGACACCGACTGAACGAAATGGACAAAGTTTCGCCGCTGGTGATACAAGTCAGCAGTCCCTACACACCTCCCGGTTCACCTGTACCTGAAGGCGGTATCCCTCAGACATACGTAATGCCTTTAACACCCGCATCGTCAACGTCGTCCTGCCGCCAGTCGCTGTCCCCAAACCAGCCCATGGACTGCTCGACGACGGGCCTATTAAAAGTGGCGCACAAAGCCGAAGTCTGGAGGCCGTGGTAAAAATTGCAATAATCCTCTTAATCAATAAGTCTTCCACAATTTAATTATATCATGGTTAATACTTGGTGAAAATTTGTACATAGTTTCAAGTCTCACTGCGTCTTTCATTTGTTTTAATTTACTAAAACGTTAATTACGATAGGTCATTAATTTAATTGCTCAATTGCTTTAAGTGGTAGGTAGAGTTTATAACATAAGACAAAGAGGTTGATCTCTCAATGTAAAATAGGAGAATGAAGCTTTAATGTGTAAATTCGTAAGAATCGGGTAAAAACAAATTATTAATGTATAATAAGTACCCACGTGATATGTTCAAAGTTTGTACCTGTGATGTCATAATTTGAAATACAATTGTGTAATTAATCAAAATTATTGCCTTATGATGTTCAAATTTGTAAATTTGTATTCGAGCAATACTGTGATACACATATTTGTATTTTTATAATCGAGTTTCAAAATAAATATGACTTGTTATTTAAAACTTATATCTTGTTTCTTTTTTTTTGGAAAAGATGAGCCTGAAAAAGGTAAGTGAAAACCTAGAAAAACTTTCAGTACCAAAGAAAGATTGTTGCTAACTTTAGACCGAGCCTCAAACAAAACAATTGAGGGAAAGCGAAAGTTGAAACTGTTTCCCTCGCTTTTCTCAGCAGGGCATTTTCATCGTACAGTGTCGTCCTCTAACTACCGTTTTGGAAGCCGGAAGAAGCGAAATTGAAAACCAGAATAGGTGTCGCCAGTTGCAAAGAAGCTGTTGACGAGTCAGCAGTTTTCAGAGGTGAATAAACAAGATTTTGGTTTGGTTCTCTACTGTTTCTATCGTTTTCTTTTATTTCGCTATTTACGCACGATTCCGCTTAATGGGAGGCGCTTTTGATACAGAACACAACGTTTGCACCCCCTTTTGAGCCAAGTTGCAGTCATATTGATTACAGATTTATACAGGGTGAATTTACGCAGATGAAAACTACAGATAGAGAAATAGGAGCAATTTGTTTTTTAATAGGTCTCGTTCAAAAACATTTTCTGTTTCCATTTGCCTTTCCAGCTGTGATATTACGGGTTGCAGAAACAAGCTGTACAGGGAAAATAATAAGTTATATAGGTAGGTACTATTTTCCTTTAAATTTTCAACGTTAAAAAGGGAGCTGTAACTGAAATCGCTTGCCTAAAGACTAAAATGTTAAAGAATTCTACATCATAAGAGGAGCAATCTGTACCAGTCTTTGGCATATTTTGAGTAATAAACCGAAGTAGTAAATTACTATGCATTTTTAGAGGCAAACGTATTCAAAATTTGACACATTTTCATCGATATTTTCATCAAAATTGTATAATTTCGACCTTTTCTAAAAAGAGCCTAATATTGTCACTGCTTTTCTGACCTACACTATTTCTTTTATCGCCACAAATTTTACCAATAAATAACATAATTTTCCTAAAATCTTGTATTCTATCCTGCGACATTCGACACATTCGAAACATTAGGAAGATCAAAGCTCAGATGAGAACTTGTCTGACAGCGTTGCTACCGCCATAAATAACCGACCTTTCACAGTGGTTACAGAAGACAACGGCGATCTACATCTTTTGAGACCTTCTATAATGTTTATTAGGCTCCTTAAAATTTTTCCTGGCCTGGTGCAGAAGGCGTCCCTGAACGATATAATTTAATCCAAGAAGTTAAGAAGGAGACACCTCCAAAGGGTACAGACGTTGAAGGGGTCGGTCCAGGCTAATCAGCTCCGCCTAATACCATCATGTCCAATAGCAGGAGCTTCTCGATTATTAAAATTCTGAGCCATTGTAATAAATGCTAAGTCTTCTTTACGAAAACACTCTCACACCGCGACCGACTAAGGAGCTTATTGCTGTGAAGGAGGTAGTTCGTACTGAACCAGTAGTTTCAAAAGTTCCAGGAACAAGAGTAATTAAAATGCGCCGAGGAAGAATCCTGGAGAAGCGGCGACGTTATGGAAAATGGACTCATCTCATGCCCCTCCAGAAACCAGAACGTAAAATAATTCTACTAGCCCAGGCATCTACTCGCACCGGAATGTTAATCGAAAGTGTTTTTCGTGAAACCATATTTTAAAGAAACGAACGTTTTTAGCATACAAGGCGTATACAAAAGAGACTTTTTGCTCCTTTTACATGCGGCATCGGGGTGTGACACGATCTCATCTTTATTCATAAAAACATAGAAGACAGTTTGGAAATTGTTAAACGAGCAGGATTCAGCTTCAAGCTGTGTATGGGGGAGGAATATTCTCATCTTTGAACGAGTTCTTCCTCCAACGTCCGACGTAGAGTCTCTCCATTCTCAGCGCGTGTATATATCTTCTGGTACAACTTTGGCTTGAAAGCAGCTTGGGAACGGTAGACATTTCATAGGCAACTCACCCTGACACAAAGCATATTACCTCCAGCACCTGACATGCTATTACATTTAATTACATGTAATTGCAAAAGCCAGTGTGAGAGCAACTGCGATTACGCATAACCCCCGTCTTTTTCTGAACAGTTTACGACCACGACCAGCTAAATGGGTGCCATAAATGGCGCGCAATAACGGTCGTAGTGTTTTCGTGTCACTTAGGTCCTTTCTATCACTGTACCGAGTGCAGCAAGCGGAGGAAGTGAGGGTTGAATATTTTTAAAACATTAGACATTTAGGCACGGGAATTAAAAAAAAGGTGCGACCGGTAGTTCTGATTTTTTGTGGGATTGCTTATTATAATTCAAGTTTTCGACCTCGAGCGGCGAACGCAACATAGTCAAATATACTAAAAAACCGAGGAATTTTCGTTTTCTTTTCAGATCTTGATTTTGACGAATTTAATTTTAAATTTAAGATTGGGCTACTAGTTCAAAAGTTACAGCCCTTTGAATTTTCTTATAGAATGTGGCCTGTAGAATCCATAATTTCAAACAGTTCCAAGATTGGGCTACTAGTTCAAAAGTTACAGCCCTTTGAATTTTCTTTCGAAATTGGTTTCTAGTCCATAACATTTGATTGAGAAGTCCGATCGAAAAAGTACGAATTGTTTTGGATTCTACGCACCAAAATTAATAAGAAAAAGTGTTTTCCCGAGAAATTTTGGTGTAGTCGATTTTTGGTAAAAAGGAAGGTTATACACTGCCTTTTTTTGAGGCCCGAAAAAAAAATTGTCTCAGATCGACCGGGAAAAAACATTTTCTTATAGAATGTGGCCTGTAAAATCCATAATTTCAAACAGTTCCAAGATTGGGCTACTAGTTCAAAAGTTACAGCCCTTTGAATTTTCTTTCGAAAATGGTTTCTAGTCTATAACTTTTGATTGAGAAGTCTGATCGAAAAAGTACGAATTGTTTTGGATTCTACGCACCAAAATTAATAAGAAAAAGTGTTTTCCAGAGAAATTTTGGTGCAGTCGATTTTTGGTAAAAAAGGAAGGTTATACACTGCCTTTTTTTGAGCCCCGAAAAAAAAATTGTCTCAGATCGACCCGGAAAAAAAAATTTTCTTATAGAATGTGGCCTGTAGAATCCATAATTTCAAACAGTTCCAAGATTGGGCTACTAGTTCAAAAGTTACAGTCCTTTGAATTTTCTTTCGAAATTGGTTTCTAGTCCATAACTTTTGATTGAGAAGTCTGATCGAAAAAGTACGAATTGTTTTGGATTCTACGCACCAAAATTAATAAGAAAAGTGTTTTCCCGAGAAATTTTGGTGCAGTCGATTTTTGGTAAAAAAGGAAGGTTATACACTGCCTTTTTTTGAGCCCCGAAAAAAAAATTGTCTCAGATCGACACGGAAAAAAATTTTCTTATAGAATGTGGCCTGTAGAATCCATAATTTCAAACAGTTCCAAGATTGGGCTACTAGTTCAAAAGTTACAGCCCTTTGATTTTTCTTTCGAAATTGGTTTCTAGTCTATAACTTTTGATTGAGAAGTCTGATCGAAAAAGTACGAATTGTTTTGGATTCTACGCACCAAAATTAATAAGAAAAAGTGTTTTCCGGAGAAATTTTGGTGCAGTCGATTTTTGGTAAAAAAGGAAGGTTATACACTGCCTTTTTTTGAGCCCCGAAAAAAAATTGTCTCAGATCGACCCGGAAAAAAAAATTCTTATAGAACGTGGCCTGTAGAATCCATAATTTCAAACAGTTCCAAGATTGGGCTACTAGTTCAAAAGTTACAGCCCTTTGAATTTTCTTTCGAATTGGTTTCTAGTCTATAACTTTTGATTGAGAAGTCTGATCGAAAAAGTACGAATTGTTTTGGATTCTACGCAACAAAATTAATAAGAAAAAGTGTTTTCCCGAGAAATTTTGGTGCAGTCGATTTTTGGTAAAAAAGGAAGGTTATACACTGCCTTTTTTTGAGCTCCGAAAAAAAATTGTCTTAGATCGACCCGGAAAAAAATTTTCTTATAGAATGTGGCCTGTAGAATCCATAATTTCAAACAGTTCCAAGATTGGGCTACTAGTTTAAAAGTTGCAGCCCTTTGAATTTTCTTTAAAAAAAATTAGTGTTTCTATTAGTCCTGTCTTAGCCTACATCATTAATTTGAGTTTTGAAACTGGTGAGTTCCCTGACTGTTTAAAAAAAGGTGTAGTAGTTCCTCTGTTTAAGAAAGGGAATGTGACCAACCTTAACGACTATAGACCAATATCCTTGCTTTCCCTTTTCTCTAAAATAATAGAAAAAATTATAAAAATTAGAGTAGTGAAGTTTTTAAACATAAATAATTTCTTAAGTAAAAAGGTGGTCAAAAAGTAGGTAATTCTCTAGTCTACTCATCTAGTCTACAATCTTTGAATAGAGTAGCCTTACCAAGACTCTCGTGTGAGGCTTTTAAGCGGTTTTATGTATACAATTGTGTAAAATTCTACAATAAACTTCCAAATTCTATCACTAGTTTAAATAGAGTGACAATTTTTTTAAAAGGATTAAAAACGTGGCTGTTTACTTTTAGCCAGGAATTTTGAAAATTATTTTCAATAAGGTTTGCGAGTATATGTAAAGACTTTAGTAGCGAATAAGGGATGATAAGTATATATTTAAAACAAATTGGAATATTTAAACAATTCGTACCAAAAGAACCCTAAAATCATTTCAATTGTTTCAAAAGTTTTTTAAAGTTGTATAAGAGTTCGTTTATTATAAATTACGGTATTTAAACAATTTAAGGGTAGTCGGAAAATAATTACTTAGATTTTGTTTGGTCCTTAATCTACACATCTCAAACCAATAAAATTAATTACAAAAATTGTACCACTGGAAGTAATTTTTAAACTTCATTCTTTTACTTGGGTGAAAGCTATGAGATAATGCAATAACAATTTAGAGGTGATCGGGAAATAATTATTTAAGTACTTGTTTGATTCTAAATTTTCACATATCTACTTCCAAATAAAAGTGCTGTATAAATTTGGTCCAAAACATCGACCAAAAAACTTTCCCAGAAATACCACTTTTCAGGTTGCAGCTGTCCCGCCGTTGTTTAGTCGCCTCCTACGACACGCAGTGCTCTCTGCGGTAGGAGTCTTTTTTCCCGCTCCTACACGGGTAGAACTCTCTGGTTGCAAGAATAAAGATCCCTAGCTTCCAGAGTACTTAAAATTAAACAAGGAAAGAAAGATAAAACCTGAACTACACGTTATGCTATTACTGACATTAACCAAAATCGTCCTGAAACATTCCATTTTCACGCCTAGTTTCTGTCAGGAAATTTTAGTTTCCATGACAAAGGCAGAGCAGACTACGTTTTGTGCCGCTTTTCCGGCTTTACTTGTCATAAATCAAAAGTTACAGGTATATAAAAATTGAAATTTTATATTAAAATACGATTTCGGGTAAAATTCAATACAAAACTCGTCCGTAAAATGACATTACCTGACTCGGGAATTAAAGTACCCGGCCCCATGGGGCCTCGTACTTCAATATTTCCTCGCCAGCAATTTTCCTGGCTTTTATGCAAATAACTATTGCTGAGAACGTGATGAATGCTTTGTTTTTTTCACAAAGTGTTTGTTACGTACATGCAGAGAAAAATTAGAGCAATGCACTCCTCCTCCTGCTTTTAGCAATGGTTAGCAATGTATTACATTTTTCTCGGCTGGCGACTATCTTTTTTTCGCCCTAAGAAGGCTCTTGCATCGAGGAGAATCTCCCAAAAAGATTATTTTAGCCTTTATTTGATTATAATATAGATATTTGACTGCAAACCCTTTTTACTATTTCCTAGGATGGGATTTTTTAATTACTTTCGTGTTAAATCGAAAATTCGTTTCCGGCTCTGGTCTCCATTCAAACTAATATCGTTAATCAGCGGCAAATTGTGTACTAATTGGATTTATGCGTGTTTGCCGTGTACAAATTGCGACGAACTAGAAAATTGATAGGGATTATTCAGGACGGAACGCGAATTTTACTATTTTTAGGTCATAAATCAATACTAAAGGCCTCAACCTACTTCATCAAAATTGAATGGAGATCTATGATGTTTTAACTTTAAGTAATCGAGTGAATTGTTCGATCATGAGGGCAGTATAACTTCGATTTCTGCATGTTGCCCCTAATCTTGGGCGCCACCTCCTGTTCGTGTCTGTTGCTATGACAAATTGCAAGGAATGACGTTGGTAGGCATCCAGAAATTAGTTTTTCAGCAGACTTCGAATAGAATTTATTACATGTAGAGAATTGGGTGTATACAATCACAGATGTAATATGATACAATGTAAGTAGATTTTGTTTTTTGTACGTGAAATGTGTGTTGCCTGTACATCTACCAGTTGTTCAGATTCGGAGTTGCCACAGAATTTACATAAAAAGCGTTCATGGTCTTAGCAATGACTTCATTCAATGTTAGCGTATGCGATGCGGTCGTAATATTTTACGCTAATCGGCATCATAGATTATTTATTGTTTATTAATAATGGCACCTATTGTCTAATTTCCGCTTGGAGTGATTACAACTCTCCACTGCGCTTTATACAGTTCTCTTTGCTCCACGGTAGTTACCTGGAGACCATAGATCTGTGATATTTAAGTGATGACACGTGGTAGCTTTACAAACTCAGGTAGACACCAGTTGAACTCCTACACAAATGTTTAGATAATATGCAAACGCGCCTCTTAGTTCAGTTCAAGAATTTTGGTGCCATTAGTGAGTGCGAGAAAAATAAATTTGTTTAATGCTCCCAACAAGCGTACTCAGGTAATACTTTACATTACTAATTAAAATAGTTCAAGGTTGTAATGTACGTTTACCGAACATCCGCCCGCGGTTGCTTTTAGATTAATGGAGCAACCACAAAATTGCAATTTCTATCCAGCATGGGGATTTGGATGCGTTTCTGTCCTCCGTCTCCGTTTTTTGTCATTTGTATTTGCGTTATATTCTAAATATGCGAGATATGTTATCGTAGTTAAACATAACATTTATGTTTATCAGTTGATTAAATGGAATGAAATGGGAAAAAATTCTTACATTGGCAGTAGGTTAGTAGATGATTCTAGTATTTCACTGTTACCATATAAGGGCTCTTCACTTCAAGTGTGTTTAGTGTATAGAGGTGAGTGGTCGATGACCAGCGCAGGGATTTCAGAAACAGGACATTACTGTTGGCCCCTTTTGTCGAAAACGAATTTTTATAAGTGGGTTACGTTCGTGTTGCTTACGTGGGAGACGTAGAATGTAGTAGTCGTAATTCGTAAGACACATTTTGAAAAAGTAGTGCCCTTTTTTTGTGAAAATAGGGTTCCTAACTTCACCCAGCATGTGATTGACAAGAGTTTAATTTTACACCGCAAAAATAAAAGTTGGAAGGTGGTGGTTTCAACAGGATGGTGCACTCGCGCATAACGGCATAATCGTGCCAGAATACCTATCGGACAATTTCCCGGAAAATGGAAAATATGTGCGATAGGTAGTCTCGCACTATTAGGGCGATGTGCGCTGGTGCACCATTCTGTTTTAACCAACAGCTTCCAACTTTTGTGTGTGCCGTACATCGTTGTATTCGTAATAAAAAATGCTACTCATTACAGCATGTACTTTTTTTTACGGACCATATAAAAAATAAAGTTGTTGACGATTTCTTCGAAACTTAACGCTGCCTTGTAGAGCTCAAAAACCGGAAAAATCTCTTTAGTTGGCTTTATTTCCTTTGACCATCGTCGTATCTTCTATGGTTTCAGAGATCCCCGTGATAGACATCCTTATCTTGGACAGGGTGTATATAGTACATATTTGCACCCATAAAAGAGGGTGCTGCGTTTGATAATTAAATTTAGCGAAATTCAGTAGGCCATTTTGGAAAAGTAGTGGCGTTACATTGAAAATGGAACGTACCCTCGTCTAGTAATTTTAACGCGACGTACAGTTCATATTTGCACTCTTAAAAGAGGGTGCTTGCGTTTTATACTCGGCTTTATAAGTAAATTTAGCGAAATTCAGTAGACCACTTTGGAAAAGTATTGATTTCCCCATTGAAAATGGAACGTACCCCCGTCCAGTATTTTTAACACGACGTACAGTTTATATTTGCACTAATAAAATAAGGTGGCTGCCTTTGATTCTTAAATTTAGCGAAATTCAGTAAACCACTTTGGAAAAATAGTGATTTCCTCATTGAAAATGAAACGTACCTACTCCCGTCTAGTATTTTTTACGCGACGTTAGTTCATATTTGCACTAATAAAAGAAGGTGGCTGCCTTTGATTCTTAAATTTAGCGAAATTCAGTAAACCACTTTGGAAAAATAGTGATTTCCTCATTGAAAATGAAACGTACCTACTCCCGTCTAGTATTTTTTACGCGACGTTAGTTCATATTTGCACTAATAAAAGAAGGTGGCTGTCTTTGATTCTTAAATTTAGCGAAATTCAGTAAACCACTTTGAAAAAATATATTTCCTCATTGAAAATGAAACGTACTCCTGTACAGTATTCTTAACGCGACGTACAGTTCATATTTTTGCACTAACAAAAGAAGGTGGTTGCGTTTTTAATTAAATTTTGCTAAATTCAGTAAATCACTTTGGAAAAGTAGAGATTTCCTCATTGAAAATGAAACGTACCTACTCCCGTCTAGTATTTTTTACGCGACGTTAGTTCATATTTGCACTAATAAAAGAAGGTGACTGTCTTTGATACTTAAATTTAGCGAAGTTCAGTAAACCACTTTGAAAAAGTATATATTTCCTCATTGAAAATGAAACGTACTCCTGTACAGTATTCTTAACGCGACGTACAGTTCATATTTTTGCACTAACAAAAGAAGGTGGTTGCGTTTTTAATTAAATTTTGCTAAATTCAGTAAATCACTTTGGAAAAGTAGAGATTTCCTCATTGAAAATGAAACGTACCTACTCCCGTCTAGTATCTTTAACGCGACGTAAGTTTATATTTGCACTAATAAAAGAAGCTGGCTGCCTTTGATACTTAAATTTTGCTAAATTCAGTAAACCACTATTTGGAAAAGTAGAGATTTCCTAATTCAAAATGAAAGGTACTCCCGTTGTGGGTCGCCCACTCTTCGTTGTTGTACTGTCGAAGTGCCTCCTTAAGGGCTGCCTGTTTGGCATTGACTTTCCGTTTAACGTTTTCTTCGATGCCTGCAGACAACTGTATCGAACATATCCCCATCTTGTATTTTTATCGCGGCGTAGAGTTTATTTGCACCAATAAAAGAGAGTAACAACAACATTGATAATTAAATTTAGCTAGTTATGTTCTTTGGAGGGGTGTAATTTCTGCAGCGTGTTAAAAATTTTTGTTTCTTTCATGGATTGTATTTAAATAAATATGAAATTAAAAAAAAATCGACCCCTTTACCCTCGCCGTTTTCGATTTGCATAATTTTACAACAAATCGATTCTATTTAGTGTAGTCATATCCTTTGGAGAAGTGTAACTTCTCTGGCGAGTCAAATAGTTTCATTTCTTTTAGGAATTCTATTTAAAAGGATTACTAGCTACCCGATGAAATGCGTATGATAATACACACCTTCGCCGATTTTATTTTGCATAATTTTTTAAGAAAATTCAATCCTGTTTAGTAGTACATAAATATCGTACATTTTTTCAGAATATTTTCTACCCCTGCTTAGAGGGGTTTATTCATCCCTCGATTTATCCTAACATTTCCCAATAAACAGTATTGGCTATTTGAACTTCTACGAACCTATCACATTAAGTGAACTTTGTTTATAATTGGTGTCAAAATAGAATTGCAAGTAATTTTAGACTGCGTTAATAACCAGAAAGCATTTTGCCTTATTTCGCATACTAAACGTACTATTTTAAGCTCTTCAGACATTTATATATTTAAGAATCAATTACGAGAATTGTACGTATGCAATTGGTTAATACTTGGCATTTGTCGCATAAGACGCTTCTAAATTTAGTGGTCCTTAAATGAGCACTTACTTCGTCTAAAATTTTGATTCACGATTGAAGTTGATTGATGACCTAGCCCTTCTCTCTTTTACTCTACGTGATGTCGTTTATTACAAGTAATTAGATAATTATATGGTGAACGATTAAGCGCTCGTTTAAATGAGGTCCTTCGTACAGATCTGTCAATATTTGGTCCAGGAAAAAGACTAATTATACACCGAATTAGGACGGTAGTTAGTTGGCCCGGATTACTGAAACCCAACAGTGCGTTTCTTTACTGTGCTAAAGTAATCATGGTAGTGCTATGTGTGAGGTTTCACCGATTTACGAGTATTTGGTAAGGTAATTGAAGTACATCGTTTAGAAAATAAGTGTTCGAATGTAGGTGATAACTTTGCAGCATGTCTGTAATGTAAGTCGTTTGACAATGTAAGTGATGTTTTCATGCTTCGCCTGTAGCTAAAGAAACAAATGGACCCTTATTAATACATACACTTTATATTTTCCTAACTTTGCTTTGCTTTGAGTTAATTATGCTAAATCCGTTAATCGAAAATTAGTGAGACATTCCGTGGTAGCAATGGGCACTGAAGCTTTTAACAAAAAAAATATTCTGTACAAAGTCAGTTTAAAATTAAATTTAGCCCGACAATGTTTCTGACAAGCAATACAAGTGGTATTTCGGATTGGGCACATGTAAAAACGCTTAGACATGCATATATATATATATGATTTTGTTAAATCGAAATGGAATCTTACCGATGTTATCTCTTCTCTACTAGTTGATAATAAAGACACCTGCTCTTTTAAAGTTGGTGTAAGGGAATCGCACTTGAAAAGTTTGCTGGATGCGAGCAAGTGGCCCAAGGGGGTAGCTGTGCGTGAATTTGTTTTCATTGCTAGAAGAAGTATCAATTCTACTGCCGTAAATTTTTCAAGGGCGGTGGGGCCGGTGTCAGAAGGATAACTAATGACTCTGCATTTATGGAGATTTATTATCAAAATGTTAGAGGCCTAAAGACTAAGGTGAAATCGGTTTATTGTAATTCACTATCCATCGATTTCGACGTTATTGCTTTAACGGAAACGTGGTTAACTCCTGAAATTGCTTCCGGTGAACTATTCGATGCAAATATATTTACTGTATACCGCAAAGATAGGTCGCCCGTAACGAGTGTCAAAGTTCGTGGTGGTGGTGTGCTTGTCGCAATCAAATCAACATTCAAATCGCTTCCTCTGAATGTACATCAAGTTTCCATCGTTGAAGAAATTTGGGCAATAATCGATTTAAGTCCTCAGGGGACCATTCTTGTTTGCTGTACCTATATCCCGCCCAACTCTGATGTATGATCTATGAATCCCACATAACGTCTGTGGAATCAGCTCTTGATAAATTCCCGGAAGCCAGAGTTATACTGTTAGGAGATTATAACCTGACTAACACCACTTGGGATAGCGACGAGGAAGATGGACACCTTACTACTTTTTGTAATCGCAACCGCATTTCAGAGCTTATATGTGACGCATTCAACCTGTTCGGCTTCCATCAATTCAACTCAATCAACAACCGGGTGAATGACAATATCCTTGATCTAGTCTTTTCTAACTGTGATACTTCCGTTTCTAACTGTGATATTAATTTAGTTAACTGTGATTCCTACCACCCAGCACTTAGTGTAGCGCTTCACACCCACCAAGGTTTCTTCAAGTGTGATGACTCGAATCAACAACCAGTCTACAAATTCAATTTCTCGAAGGCTCCTTATGATCAAATCAATGACTACATTCGTTCCGTGGACTGGCATTCACTATTTTTCAATGGAGATTTGGAATCAAATGTTGAAAACTTTTACACAGTCATCTACGACATTTTAAATGTATGTGTTCCAAAAATTAAATGTTTTAAATCAACGTACCCGCCATGGTTTAGTAGTAAACTACATAAGCTGATTAGGGATAAGAAGCTCGCCCACAAAACATATAAAGCATCTAAGAGCAACATCGATTATCAAGTTTTTACAGAGTTGCGAACTCAGTGTAAATCCTTGACCACACAGTGCTATGACACCTTTATTAAAACCTGTGAAGAAAATGTTACTTTAAATCCGAAGTCGTTCTGGAAATTTTATCATAATATGAACAAAACTTCTATTATCCCCCCTTTGATGATAAAAGATGATGAGTCCACATCTGACCGTCGTGAAATTGCCAATCATTTTGCCAAACACTTTTCTACAGCTTTCGTGGAGGGCCGCATTCACGAAAATTCGTTCTCCACGACCAGTGAAATCGCGCTCGCGCAGTTCAAAATAACGGCTGAGGAGGTTTTTGGCGGTCTATCAGCTATTGATGAATTTGGAAGCACAGGACCGGATGAAATTCCACCAAAATTTCTCAAGAACTGTGCTCAATCAATATTCCGACCATTGTTCCTTTTATTTTCATCTTCGTTGGAGAAAAGTGTTTTTCCGAGTGCCTGGAAGAATTTGAAAATTACACCGATTTTCAAGAATGGAATCAAGCCCGATTACAATAACTACAGACCAATATCCATCCAGTCGGCTATACCGAAACTTTTCGAATCCATAGTTGTCCGGCAGTTCACCCAGGCCTTCTCGCAAGTGTTATCGGTTAATCAACATGGTTTTACAAAAGGAAGATCCGTGGAAACAAACCTGTTTCTATACTTGAACCGGATTTTTGGTTCTCTTGATCAAGGTATTGAAGTGCACTCGATCTACACAGATTTTTCCAAAGCATTTGACCGGGTTAACCACAAATTGCTGATATTCAAGCTAAAAAAGTACGGTCTAGGTAACCAAGCAGTGAAATGGTTGGAAAGCTACTTAGCTGGTCGTAAAGCACGAGTCCAAATCGATGACACTTTGTCGGATCCCATTGACATCAAATCTGGAGTTCCGCAAGGGACACATTTCGGCCCGCCTTTGTTCCTGGCATACGTCAACGACATATCTTCGATATTCTCCTCAAATCATGCCCTTTTTGCTGACGATCTTAAGCTCGACTACAGACCTATCGAGAACACCCTGGATGTGCTGATCCTTCAACAAGATTTGGTACAACTTGAAATATGGGTATTAGATAATGATTTGCAACTGAACTTAACCAAATGTTGTTCAATTTGTTTTTCGAAGAAATCATCGCCTTCTGTTCCGCTCTACCATCTTTGTGGTCAAGAACTTCAACATATGGGCATCATCAAGGACCTGGGGGTAGTACTTGACACAAAATTGAATTTCCAGCATCACTACGATCATGTTATTTCGAAGGCTAGCAAAATGGTTGGGCTCATTCGTCGCCAATTCAAGGATTTCTTCAACATAACCGCACTGAGGACTTTATACTTCTCCCTGGTTAGGTCGCATCTGGACTATTGCTGCACGATCTGGTCACCATACTACTTAACTCACGTCAACCGGCTGGAAAAGATACAGAACAATTTTCTTCGCCTTATAAAGTACAAATTCCTTCTTCATGGAATCATATTGGATCGCACTGAAAATGTCCGATTTTACTTGGGAATACTGACTCTTAAACAGAGGAGAAATTTACTTACCGCATGTTTTGGTTTCAAACTACTAAATGGTCACCTAAACTGCCCGGATATTTTATCCACTATTAATTTAAACGTACCGCAACGATTTGTTCGTTCGGCTCGACTTCTACATGCACGACAATGCCGAACGCTATACTTCCAAAACAGCCCTTTAAACCGCATGGTTGACCTGATCAACATCTGAAAATCGATTTCTTCGGACTGCCACTAGCCGCCTTCAAACGTACTGGGAATTCACTGTTGATCCAATAAACAAGTTTTTCGCTATCTCTCCTACACGTCGATCTTGTCCTTCGTTTTATTGATTTATGTTGCGTATTTTATTGTGTATCACTATAATTTTAATTTGTATGCAAAATGCCTTGTAGCGTTAATAAAATTATTATTATTATTATTATTTGGATCGTAGTCTACTCACCAGATTACTCATTTTTATAATCGTCTACTTTTGACTTTAACAACCCACAAAACAACTGCTTAGCCGATTTTGACTAAAGATAAATGATAGCTAGTTGTAGCTACAAGATTGGGCAAGAATTGAATGTGCTGAATTTGTGGTAATATTTTGATTTTCGAATAAAATCTGTAGTCTTGCAAACGAATTCGGATGTTTGAAGATACAGTATTCTTAGTGTTATGAGCAAAAGGAAAGAATCTGTGACGAACAAAAACTACACTGCTATTATGGTATAACTAGAAACACATGTAATAGCTATACACCATCTTTAACGTGTATTAAATCGAGCAAAAATAACATTAATTATATCTTAAAAAATTTAAGTTGGAATATTGCTCACAATTAAAAGTAACCACCCCCACATTTCAATGAAATTATGTGAACTTTGTATTGTGGAAAATTTAGGGCTGCTCCCGCAAATTTTTTTGTTGAAAACGCTTAATTAAGGTGCCCTCTTAGCCGTTTTTATCAATTTCATGATCGTACCTGGGGGGTTAATAACGTCACGTAAGCGTAACCCCTCAATCTTTTGAATGGGAGCTTCTTTCGGGTCGCCCAACTCCCTGAGACACCTTCGACGATTCCGCTACTGATTATTGGACCGCTCCCTTCGGTAGAATGGGATTCGACCCACACGGTGCTCTCGATATCCTGTGATAGTTGTGGCTCTTCCCCAAATGCAGCTATTGCGATGACCCCAAGATTAGTTCATGTTAGTTCCCGACGGTTTTTTCGTCCCAAGGGTTTTTTTCGCACCAATATCATATCTAATTTTTAAATTGAAAAAACATGTTGCTAAGTAATATTCTAACAAGAAACATGAGTGCTGGTGGCAATAAAAATCCGAGTCGAAAATGAGACGAGACCTGCAGTTTTTCCATCTAGAAACGATTTGTAATTCAAAATTTCGCGTTTGTGATTGGTAGAAAGTAAGACGAGGTAAATAGTCGCCCAAGATATAACAACGACACAAACAACAGCAATGTCGAAAAGGGACTCGCCTTTTTAACAAGCAGATTAGTCAAATGAAAGTAGATGAACACGAATTTGATGCAATCTCTCCTGCTCAACGTGCCGCGTGGTACCAATCCATGCATATTGATGAAATCATCAAAGAAAACCCCCACTTATTTTCCAAACCAAACCAAAAAATTTCAAAATAATAAGGGTGCTACTATGACCAACTTTTCTGTTCGTCTATTCCAATGTCAGAAGTAGTTATCCACTTCCGCTTTTCCTTGGGCATTGAGCTTTTGTTTAATTTTTTGTACACTAAAATTGACTATTATTATGCATTAAAAAAGTTGTACCTATATATCGTTACATAAAAACTGTGGATTGGGTTTTATCAGTTCCAGCTGTTTAGCAATCATGTGCTAACTTTGTAAATTATGCGCGATGCGTCGTACAATACAAATTTAGGTACACATTACGGCTGTACCAAGGTAACTTGTATACAGAAATTAAATTATGACCTCTACTTCATTGTTTTATAATGACTTACCTACAACATTTTAACATGTTAACTGTAAATTGCTTTTGTCAAATACTATACCTATGTTCTTTTCATAGCACACATTACATTATTAAAAATGTAAGGGGAGACTTCGCTGGAATTCTGCCCCACATGTCATTTTGTAATCATTAATCCAATCCTATAAAATACTTATTTCTAAATAAGCTATGGCAGATTGTTTAATTAAAGGAGAATAAAAAAAAATTGTTTTATAATAGTTTTCAGCTGACTCCGAGGCCATGCCATTGCCATACCTAAACTGTTTCAGCCAAGGAAAGTCAGCGCCGACTCTAAGATATGAAATTTGGGGACTTGCATATTTAGCCAGACGATTAGTAAAGCAATCGATAATAAAAACCACAATTTAAACTTCCAAGTTTTGCAATTTACATTCAAAGTGAATTTCAGGAAGCAGGTAATTTTAAAATTACGTACACGTCTATGAGGCATATTATCCCACTTGTGGCGCTAATGAGATAAGACGGTTTTCGTAATACACTGTGAGAAGCAATTTTGTGTTCAAAAACTACATTGCCATTACATTTATTCATAGACTAAGAATAGGCATACTTTGTAAGAGAATAAGTAGTTAATCGTCCTTACAACTATCGTATTTTGAATCAAACCTCAAACAAATTAGGTACCTTCTGAACGAAACAGGCAGGGAGCTAAAACCAAGAAAAATCAATTCATTATGTCAGAAGATTTTTTGGATATCTAGAATTTTCAGCGAGCATTTCAGAAAGAGACTGTCAATAATTAATTTTTGTTATAAGTAAACGTTTAACGAAAAATTATAGAACAGGAACAAATATTATATAAGAAAGGGGTTTTAAAACAGTAAATTTCATCAAAAGAATCACAAGAAAAAGGTTCCTAAAATGCATTCGGCATTGCCTTTTTTCAAATATTTTGGTAGGTATATTTAACCACCCTGTCCAGCGCAGCCCAGTTTCCCTTTCTCCCCCGAACCAATTCAAGAGTTTATCACAATTGGATGAGTCTACTTTGTAATTTGTAATATTAATAATAAAATACCTCAGGGAATCTTCCAGTTTCTCACAAATTCTTTTATTTTTCAAAGCGTCCCTCAAATTCTCTATGGCCCTTTACCGTTCTTGAAGATTATTTTTTATTTATAGTTTTTTAAGAGTTGTCTAAAAATTCTCCACAAAGTGATTAACGAATCTATAATGAGTCCTTGAAGAATCACTGATAATACCATAGAAGCTGGGATGCCAATTTATTCATAATAAAACCTTGTGCCAACAAACGTCTTACATTTTTTAGCGGAAAAAGTCTATTTACTAAATTTTTGAAGCTCGAGATTTCACTGAATATACCAATTCTCGCATCCTATCTAAACAGAGCAAAATTTAAAGAAGAAAGGCATATATTGTATTTAATTATACTATGTATACAGGGTGCAATATGTAAGTATGTCAAAGAAAAATTACATTGTAGTAATGAGCCAAAAAGAAAAAGTTACAAATTACTTTGAAGCATCTCCTATGAACCTACGAATACATGTAAATTTATGTAAAGTGGGAATTTAAATACCTGCGGGTTTTAGAAACCCATGGTAACGAGGTGGTTCTTAGGATAAAAATTTGAAAAAATTCCAAGCAATCCAAAAAACAGAATTAGTCGACGCGCAGGTTGGATGTAAAAAAACCATTTTACCTGAATACACGTTTTTAAAACGGCTGCCGATCGAGTTTTGTACATTTGTCGTTGTCCGGTGAAAAAGTAATTTCCAATTCAGGGTCGAAGAACTCCTGATGATTTATTGTTTCAATATTTTTTTTTCAAAATATTTTGAAAGAAGGCTTGAGAAACCCCCCAGATTAAAGAATCTCGTCAGAAATTTCTTGAAGGATCTCCTAAATAATTTTGAAGGGCGTCCTTTAGAATGTTTTCAAGGGTTTCCTGGAGAATCGTTTCAAGAATCCATTGTGGAATATTCAGAGAAATTTCTTGAAGAATCTTTTAAATACTATCTTGAAGATATCGTGCATAATTTCTTCATTTCCATTTGGCGGCCCCCATTTCCTTATTGAAAATGTGCACGAAATTGAAAATGTACCATATTAATCAAAAATGAAAGGCGTGGAAACTTGACCTTTGGAATTTAATTGAAACCTCTAACTTAACTGACGCTCAAAAAACGAAAGAGCATGATTAGGCTATGCGCGCTAGTATCGAGTAGACGTGTTTAAAACCGCTCTTGCAAGTGATAAATTATTCGCTGTTAGACTAAGAATTATGCTCCTTGGCTAAATCCAAATTTACGCGAAATGATCAAAATTAGAAACACTCTTTTAAGCAAATTCAAACTATCACGTAATCCTCTGGACTGGAATGCCTATAAGACAATGCGTAATCGAATTACAGTTATGGTTAAAACTGAAAAAAAGGAATTCTTTTGAATGGGGATGATATTAATTCCCATTTTATAAATTCGATCCCTCGCAGCGATATCAATGATAGCATACTTAATTTTTATGTTTCAAATCTAAAGGATTCCATTACTAGCACCTTTAAATTCAGTTCGGTAGATGAATTCACAGTGTTTTCCATTTTTCTAAAAATCAAATCGAAAGCAGTAGGACATGATGGCGTAGGTATTAGGGCATTACGTTTATGTATTCCGTTTATCATTCCATTTGTTACTCATATAATAAATGAATGCTTAAAATGCTCGGTATTTCCAGCCGCTTGGAAAATCGCGTATG